TTCCGGAGTGTGGAAACTGTTTATGACTATTAGATTAAGGTATCTACAATCTTAAAATGCTATGGGAAGGGAGGAAAACAGGTCTGCGACGTAGGAAGTGGCGAAGGAAGTAGTAAAGACAAGCAGTCCGGAGTGTGGGAACTGTTTATGACGGTTAGATTAAGGTATCTGCAATCCTAAAATGCTATTGGAAGGGAAGGAAACAGGTCCGCGACGTATGAAGTGGTAAATGAAGTAGTAAAGGTGAGCAGTCTGGAGTGTGGAAACTGTTTATGACGATTAGATTAAGGTATCTGCATTCCTAAAATTCTATGGGAAGGGAGGAAAACAGGTCCGCGACGTAGGAAGTGGTGAAGGAAGTAGTAAAGGCGAGCTGTCCGGAGTGTGGAAACTGTTTATGAATATTACATTAAGGTATCTACAATCTTAAAATGCTATGGGAAGGGAGGAAAACAGGTTTGCGACCTAGGAAGTGGTGAATGAAGTAGTAAAGGTGAGCAGTCTGGAGTTTGGAAACTGTTTATGACGATTAGATTAAGGTATCTACAATCGTAAAATGCTATGGGAAGGGAGGAAAACGGGTACGCGACGTAGGAAGTGGTGAAGGAAGTAGGCGAGCAGTCTGGAGTGTTGAAACTGTTTATGACGATTAGATTAAGGTATATGCATTCCTAAAATTCTATGGGAAGGGAGGAAAACAGGTCCACGACGTAGGAAGTGGTGAAGTAAGTAGTAAAGGTGAGCTGTTCGGAGTATGGGATCTGTTTATGACCATTAGATTAAGGTATCTACACTCTTAAAATTCTATGAAAAGAGAGGGAAACAGGTCCGTGACATAAGAAGAGATGAAGTAATCAGTAAGGTGAGCAGTGTGGAGTGTGGGAACTGGAAACCGTTCGTAGCAGTTAGATTAATGCACCTGCAATGCTGAAATGCTATGAGAAGGGATGGAAACATGTCCACGACATAGAAAATGGTGAAAGAAGTAGTAAAGGCTAGCAGTGCGGAGTGTGGACAATGTAACATAAACAAATGACGTAACTAGCCAAGGCCCCCCTATTAAAACAGGCCATGCTGCAGCACGGACAGCTTAATAATACAGTGGCGGATAGTTGTACTAAAATCTTACCATTAAAATCTGACAGCCAGCTTATTTACCTAAAACTAAAACATATGGGATATGGTTATGAATTTGTCAATGGATCCTGCAGCATCTAGCCCGAATGAAACTAACATGTTTTGAAAGTTTTTGACAGTTCCATAAAAATAATAACACGAACATGATTACTTTGGGGATAGTGATGTCATTTGTTTATGTTTATGATCCACAACGTTTATATTCTAATGTTCGTCTAAAAACCATATGCTAACACTAAAAGTTAAGTGGGGTTTCAATACAACGAAACCACGTGTTTTAATAGTGACGTCATTTGTTTATGTTTATGATCCACACCATTATTGTATTAATGTACGTGTGAAAACCATATGTTAAGAATAATTATGTTGGGTTTCAATTGAACAAAATAACGTGTTTTAATGTAAACAGAGTTGTCTTGTTTACAAATGATAGTTTCACTTAATTATTAGTGTTTTAGTTTATATTGTGTTCTATTGAATTTGTAGATTGTGGACTAACAACTAAGTGGGGTTTCAATACAACGAAACCACGTGTTTTAATAGTGACGTCATTTGTTTATGTTTATGATCCACAACGTTTATCTATTCTATATATAATTCAGTTTTGAAAATCTTTGTACAACTAAATCTAGAGTTATACTGGACCGATTTTATTAAATAATGGGTCGTTGGAAAGCTCAAGTCGTGTAGATTTGCAAATAATTATGAAAGTTTGTTTTTGTTATGATTTATGGTGAAAATCTTTAAAAAAACATGTTTCCATAAGAAATACATTGAAAACGGTGTTTTTCACACTTTTTAATTGGGTGCGACTTTTTGCGGCCTTTTTTGAGTGTTTCCAAGAAGTGTATGGTATCAATTTGTAGGAAATTTTATTCTCTTTCAGAATATCACCTTCCACTTTAGTCGATTTCCTCACCATTTAAAAGTTATTTGCAAAAAAGCTAGGCAACCTCCGAATTTATAGTAAAGAGAAAATACTGAGTTAGGGATATTTTTGTTAAACTTTGTACAACTAAATCTAGACTTCTACTGGACCGATTTTGTTAATTAATGGGTCATTGGAAAGCCCAACTCATGTAGATTTGCAAATAATTATGAAAGTGTGATTTTATTATATCTTTGTGGTAAAAAAGTAAAATTAACAAAAATACATTAAAAACTGCTTTTTCAAGTTTCTGTTTTCAAGTTTCTATTTGTAGCCAGCTTTTGGCTGCCTTTATTAAGCATTTACAAGAAATGCATAATAGTTGTTTGTAGTAAATTGTATTCTCTTTCAGAATATCCCATCCACGTTGGTCGATTTCCTCACCATTTAAAAGTTATTGGCAATAATCTAAGTGATCTCCAAATTTATAGTAGTGAGAAAATACTGAATTAGAGATATTTTTGTTAAGCTTTGTACAACTAAATCTAGACTTCTACCGGACCAATTTTGTTACTTAATGGGTCGTTGGAAAGCCTAATTTGTGTAAATTTGCAAATAATTATGAAAGTTTGATTTTATTAGATATTTGAGGTGAAAAAATAAAAATAAACAATAATACATTTAAAACTCATTTTTTCCAAGTTTATATTTCCAAGTTTATATTTGTAGCCAACTTTAGGCTGCCTTTATTGAGTATTTTCAAAAACACATATTAGTAATTTGTAGGAAATTTTATTCTCTTTCAGAATATCACCTTCCACTTTGGTCGATTTCCTCACCGTTTCAAAGTTATTTGCAAAAACGTTAAGCAACCTCCCAATTTATAGTGGTGAGAAAATACTGAATTAGAGATGTTGTTGTTAAACTTTGTACAATTAAATCTACAGTTCTACTGAACCGATTTAATTAAATAATAGGTCATTGGAAAGCCTAATTTGTGTAAATTTGCAAATAATCATAAAAGTTTGATTTTTTAAAAGATTTACTAGGTTAAACCCGTCATAGTCGACAGTTACTGTTGAGGTTGCAAGCAAGATCGTTTGACTATAAATCAATGATAAATAACTACATTTTTTGAACAATTTGTGTTGTACGTCATTTAGCTGTGTGCTTTAGGTACGTCCGATTTTAATAATCTATAAATGAAATGGATGCTGGTATTTCACAGAAGGTTCTTAGGTCAAAACAAATAGAATAACGTAATTAGAATTAAGTAAATATATCTAAAACTAAATTCCATATCCAAGATATAATCAAATTTATATTTTCTGATTGAGCGATACAGTATCTTAAACTTAACTGTTTAAAACTATCAATATCTCAAGTGAAAGCCTATGAAGTATTTTAAGACCAAGACATATTAAAATAACTCAAATAAAAATAGAGTTACGTATCATTGATTGCAGATAAGTACTAAAACGATTGTAATTATTGTTGATTTGTGATTCAGCAGTGTGTTTTAGGTAGTCCGATCTTAATAATCAATAGCTCAAATGAAAGCTGGTATTTCACTAAAGGTTTTTAAACCAAAACATATAGGGGTAACATATAGAACTGCTGGAATACAACTTTAATTAAAGTGAAAAATTAAAATAATAAAATTTAAATTCTTTCAAAATATACGTCAAAATGAATGCCGATGCTTTATGGAAAATCTGTGGTACGTCCATACCTTTAGTTTAAGGCCAAAATAATGAAAATCGGTTGGGTAAAAGAGCTAACCCGACTCGGAAAAGAAAAACTAATAATTGTTATAGATGGCAATAATTGGTTTACCAGTATGCATAATATAATTATCTAATGTTATGTGCTTAATCTGTACCATTAATATTAGTGAGTAAAGTTGTGTATGGATTTCATAACCATTATTTTACTAGAGACCGTTGTATTTAACCACAACGGGCACTGTTGCTAGTATTCTAATGTTCGTCTAAAAACCATATGCTAACACTAACAGTTAAGTGGGGTTTCAATACAACGAAACCACGTGTTTTAATAGTGACGTCATTTGTTTATGTTTATGATCCACACCATTATTGTTTTAATGTACGTGTGAAAACCATATGTTAACAATAATTAAGTTGGGTTTCAATTGAACAAAAAACGTGTTTTAATGTAAACAAAGTTGTCTTGTTTACAAATGATAGTTTCACTTAAATATTAGTGTTTTAGTTTATATTGTGTTCTATTGAATTTGTAGATTGTGGAAGTTTATCAGGATGAAGGGTGATGAGGATTGTTCAGAATTATGTGAAAGTGTTATATTCCCATAATATGTTGCATGCAGAACTACCACATAAGATTTGTTTTTGATATGAGAAACAGTGAGTGTTCTTGTTCTTTTTTTAATTAAAACGTTAATGTGACCTTAGAACAATAAAAATCATTTTACTTAGGTACCTACTTATTCTATATTGAAAAATAAACTTTAAAAATATTTTGCAAATAACTCATAAGGTTGTCGCAGAAGGAAATGCTAGGATTTCACGTTCTGCTTAATTTACTTAATGTAGGCCTATGCCTCTTCATAGAACCGCAGTATAGTTTACGACAGAGCGTTTTTAGTTTCTGCTTGTCGTGTTTGGAATCACCTCTGGCCAGTGTTGCATACGTAGATTTCTTTGGACAATATCGGGTTAGTTTATATAACGTACTTGAAATGCCGCGATTTTCAAAAGGTTCAAACTTGTCAATATCAACACGGACGACTAGGCAGCACAACAGTGGTAGCCATCAGACTGCTTCATCTTCTTATCTCACCGCCAGGAACATTAATAGAAATTTGGTATTAGCAAACAAATTTGATCATTCCATTCAGTCTCTGGATTATGTAACCTGCACAAATTGTAAAGCAAAAACGTTGCAAGAATTTAAAGAAGACTTTATGTGTGCAATTTGCAGAAGAAACCCAAATGTTCTTACAGATCTTAACAACATGGATCCAGGAGATGTGCCACCCCAGCTACAAGACTTAACTCCAGCAGAGCAAATGCTCATTGCCAAAGTTCAGCCAGTTATTCGGCTGTATCAGTATCGTTCTTGTGGACAGATATTTTATAACGGCCATGTAATAAATATTGCACAAGATTTGTCTGAAATAACACACTTTCTACCCCGAGCACCAAATACTCTGAACGTTGTTATTGTTCGAAGACCAACATCACAAGGATTTTTGGAATTCAGAGTCCGCAGACAAAAAATACTTGATGCTTTGATATTTTTGAAACACAGTAACGACTTTTACAGTGACATAAATATCGATATGGACACATTAAATGATTTACCAATAGATGGCACTATTGAGGAACAAGTTCCAACGATAGAAATCGACAGTGAATTAAATGATTCATTAGACGACGGTTTGGTAACTGAATCGGCTGTAAGCAGTACAGCTTTACAAAATCAAAAAGAATCAATAAAACGAGTTTTGGAATGGCCACCTGGACATCCCAATCCAATAGACGAGTTTCGTACTCCTGGATATATCGTCATGGCTTTTCCTCATCTATTTCCACGTGGGAAAGCATATTTTAATGATCATACAAGACAAGTAAAACTGACTTTCAAACAGTGGTGCAATTATTTGATGCACTTCAGGGACTCCCGTTTTGCAACTGACAAAAGATTCCGATATTTCTGTCTAAACACAATTCAAAGACACGAGGCACTCAATGTCGGAGCGATTATGGCAAAGAAATCAGATCTCAAGGAGATGACAATAGATCAACTTCGTATTGAATTCGAAAGAAATCCGAGCATTTTAAATAAGCTGTTATCATATGGTGCCCATATCCGAGGAACAAACGCATATTGGTTTAAACGCCGGAATGAGCTTCAATCTATGTGTGAAAGTCTTGGTGCACCCACCCTATTTCTAACATTAAGTTCTGCTGATCTATGGTGGCCATGCTTGCAAAAGTACTTCAAGATTCCTCAAGAAATCACAAGTAATGAAAGCCAAATGTCTAGATTCATGCAAAAATCTTTAAATGACAATCCACTAATTGCGGACGAGTATTTCGAGGCGCGAGTGCAAATACTCATGGAAATTTTAAATATAAAATTCAAAGTGAAAGATTTTTGGTATCGAACTGAGTATCAACATCGTGGTAGTCCACATGTACATAGCTTGATTTGGATTGAGAACGCTCCCGATATACGTCTGTTTGATCAAGCAACTATGAATGAGATGTCATCATACAAACAATTCTACGATGAACTTGTATCTGCGGTCAATCCTAATCAAAATGAACCTCCTGCTGTAATCCATCCTTCGAGATTATATGGTTCAACAATTGAGTTTTGTGACGTGGAGAAAAAGGCACAATTATTAAATCGTGTTCAACGTCACACACAGCATTCTATTTATTGTCAGAAAAAGAATGGTGGTGGCTTTACCTGTCGATTTGGTTACCCAAAAAGTATAGAAGAAGAGTCTCATCTTGAGAAAAACGAGAATGGTGATTGGGTGTACACTCCAAAGAGAAATGACGAATTAATTAATGATTACAATCCATTTGTGGCACATGTCTGGCGCGCCAATACTGACTGTAAGGTGGTTACTTCACTTCAGATGGTAGTCAACTACTTGGCTAAATACGCTTCCAAAAGTGAGCCGACTTCCCAATCTTTCCGTGATATTTTCTCTGAATTATTGCAGACATCTGAGCCTACAAACTACGCGACCACTGCTCTTCAACGTACATTAATGAAATTAATTGGCCAAAGAGATATATCTGCTTGTGAGGTTATGCGATTGTTGACAGGAAAAGCATTGTATCATTCTTCACGCCAGTTCATCACATTGTACATATCAAAAGAAGAATTTGTAGTCCTGAATGAAAGTGGTGATCACGGATCGTCAACTTTTTCAAAATATCAGAATCGACCTCGTCTTGCTGAAAATATGACACTATATCAGTTCACTAGCTCATGTAACACGAATAGTAGAGTGGAAAGACTAACTTACTACCGACAGCCACGCATTGTTCAAGTCCTACCCAAAGTCACGCTTGGAATTTCTGAAGAACATGATGAACTGTACTATATGCAAAAAGTGCTAGTTGTGTCTGCGTTCAGAGAAATTATCGAAGCAAAAACTCACAGTACTTGGAAAGAAACGTATGAACATCTGGATGTAGAATTGTGGGATTTCGATGGTGTTGCTGATGACGATGATGAAGTCGAGGTGGTTAATCCAGAAATTGATCGAATTCCTTGGATGGAAGCAGCTGCAGTTCCTCATAATGTGGTAGCCGAACACGTCCATCCAGGTGAAAGAGAAGTTGATCGGGACTATGATTGGTTTGAGCGTATTTCTGCATATGACAATATACATGACAATTTAAATTTTGTTAAACATGTAAGTAAAGCTACTCAGCTAGGAAGAGTACGGGCTAATAGTTCTGAAGTTTTGTTGAATCAAGAACAACAACAAATAATTGATCAATTGAAACAGCAACTGAATGGCCAAACAAATATAAAAAGAAGCTTGATTATAGGACCCGCTGGTGTTGGGAAGTCTGTAGTTATAAATGAGATTATCAAAACAACGGAATCGACCTATGGTGACGGTAGTGTTGTCATATTAGCACCAACTGGTTGTGCTGCTTCAAATGTTAATGGCCAAACAATTCACTCAGCACTACGACTAAATATACGAAATTTTAATGAGCTACAGGGTGAAAATGAACGAAATCTTCAAATTTTGTTCGAAAACGTCCGTGTCGTAGTTTGCGATGAAATATCTATGTGTGGGCAGAAATTACTAGCAATGATCGACAAACGCTTACGTCAAGCCAAACCTGAAGACCAAGATGAAGTGTTTGGTGGTCTTATTGTGTATCTATGTGGTGATATGGCACAGTTACTACCGGTGCAAGATCGAGCTTTATTCATGCCAGCTGATCTTTCAAACCAGTGGTATACACATGGACGTTTTGTATACGAGCACATCCAAAAAGTTTTTCAACTAAAAACTATCATGCGTCAAGCTGGTGAAGAACAAAGTCATTTTCGTGCTGCTCTTAATAACATTGCTCGTGGAACAATAACAGAGGAAGATTACAAGTTCTTTTCTTCAAGATTCATATCGAAAAACACCGAAAAGATCGCCGACTTTTGCAACGCTGTTCGTATCATGGCAAGAAAAGAAGACGTGGCTACTTACAACCTTAAGGAGTTGGCTAAGCTACATAGTCCTGTGGCATTCATTCGTGCCATAAACAAACCTTTAATAGCCGCAACAGCGAGTTCCGATGAATGTCAAGCTCTTGAAAACACCCTCAGATTAGCCAAAGGTTGTAAAGTAATGTTACGTCACAACTTATGGACTGATGCAGGCTTAGTAAATGGTGCTGTTGGCACTGTTCAAGATATTGTATACGAACGCGAAGATGGCCTATCACATTTGGAAATGCAGCCTTTATGTGTATTAGTTGAGTTTAGTAACTATAGAGGACCCACATTATATAATAATGTGGTACCGATTGTCCCTGTTGTAACCAAGTTTGTAAAACGAGGCATAAAATGTACCCGAAAACAATTTCCTTTGACACTTGCCTATTCTCTCACAATCCACAAATCTCAAGGCATGACCCTGGACCAAGCAGTTATTGATATTGGGCCAAGGGAATTTAGTGCCGGGTTAACATACGTTGCAGTGAGCCGCGTCCGAACGATTGATGGGCTGCTTTTCGACCCAGGATTTACCAAAGAACGGCTTATGAGCATTAACAAAAGCTCGGTCTGGATAAAGAAACAAGTCGAAGATCAACGTTTAGAATCACTTTTATAACAAATTTTTAGTATTGCTGTATTTTGAAATGTTCACTTCACAATGTTTCACAATTAGTGTGTGAAATTAGCTTTCCAATCAATCAAATCCATATTATATTTAATCCATGTTCAATTGTTTCACAAAATATATTCATCTATTTGGCTGGTTATTGTTGTTTTTTTCTGAAGGTTTTAAAAGAATGCTGTTTATTTTGTGTTTTCATTGATACTTATCATCACATTAAGTTAAACTGTTATGTAGTTATCAGTTAGCAAAATGGTAGAAGCCAAAACGTTTTGGGTTAAATTCTGTTATCACTAGCTAGCTGGAACTGTACTACCCTGTTTGAGAAAAAGTAAATATCCCAGAGGTTTTACTAAGATCTATTTTTTAAACTATTTTAATCACTCTAAAATGTATCTCTACAACAATTGTTCTTTAATTGAAATTGTTGGTAAAAAAAAATAATGTTGAAGCCTAAAATAATGGAGAGGGACTTTGGCAATATGCACTGATGACTCCGCTCAATTTTGTGGAAGCGTCTGCGAACGCCACCTAGTTTACTTAAGCTTAGGTATCTAACCGGACTGCCCAGTTAGATGACCAGGTAAGTTAGAGTTAGTCGAGTGTGACAGTATATGGCGCACCGCTAACCCGGAGTAAAGTAAGTGCAAGGGAAACGTGTGCAATAGTTATATATTGCATCGTACGTTTAGGAAGCGGGTGCAATAGTTATATATTGCACCGCTTGGGGTTAGAATAGGCGTTAGGTATTTCGGCCCACGTTTATTTTACCCAACGTCGACTTTTGGCCATCGAGGCACTAACTTGAGCGAACGCTAGGGAAACGCATGCAATAGCTATATATTGCACCGTACGTTTAGGAAGCGGGTGCAATAGTTACATATTGCACCGCTCGGGGTTAGAATAGGCGTTAGGTATTTCGGCCCGCGTTTATTTTACCCAACGTCGACTTTCGGCCATCGTGATTAACCAAATTTATTTCCGATCGATTACTAGGTCTGTGATAGCTGTGATGAAAAGAAGAGTACTGGAGTAAGCTTTTGCTTGACTAATACTCATTTCTGAGCTTAGATTTTGTATTTACGTTAAATCGAACCTTGGACGAAATTACCCACGCTTCGACTGTTTTATCCGGCAAACTTGATTTGTGAGGTACGTTTATCGACACCCCGGTAATTTTAACCTCACAGTAGTCCTCGCCAACCACACATTCATCTGGCTTCAATCCATACTGCAGGTCGCATGGCAGACAGAGCTCTCGGCCAAAAACTACGTTGGCTGCCGTTTGGCCGATGGTATCGTTGACTGAACTCCTATAAGCGAGTAGAAAAAGGTGCAGGTATTGGTCCCAGTCCCGCTGATGTTACGATTTGTACGGCTCTCTCAGCCATACCGTTTTACTTAGGGTATGCAGGACTGCTATATGTACAATCAATGTCCCACTCTTTACAAAACTGAATGAATTCAAAATAATTAAATGGCACGTTATCACTAGGTACAGATTTGTTTTGGGACTCCATGTTCTAAAAAAATTGACTTAACTTCAATATTACTTCACTAGCATGCTTATTTCTCAGTGATTTGAGCTTTACCATTTGGAATACCAGGTAATCAATAAGAACTGTGTAAGGTTTACCCTTAAATTTTAAACAAATCACTAGTCTGGGTCATTAAAAACATAAGTTTCATACCACTGGTTGAGTTTTTGGCTTATTAATTAAGTCTATGAACAAAAAGTTACTGTTTTCATTAGGTCTTTCAATACTTTGACAACTGTCACTATCAGAACCCACATTAGGCCTACTTTCAGTTTTAATAGGACCTAGAGATGCTATATTCTTAGGAATTTAGGGGTTGGTTAGTTTTTGACATACAGCCTTTAGCAAAATGGGTTTCTTTGTTAAATATATTACATCTTCTACCGGTACCATATGCTGGACAGTTTCTTTTATCGTGCATCTTACCACTTTTTTACAAGAGTAGACATCCGTTTTACAATCGTTATTAAAGGAAGGCTTAAGCATATTAGTATCAGTATCTTTATGTCTAAAGGTAGCTCCCTCTGATGACTTATGGTTAAAAGAACTACTAGTCTTAGGCCTACTTGAATTCATCCGGTTGTGTTGTGCCGTATATCCAGGACGAGTGCTTACTTTGTTGACGCCAGGGTGTTGTCCTAGGAGCTCCTTGGCCTGTTCTCGTCCCATCTCCGTTGCTCGGCAAAGCTTGACGATCTTATCTAGGCTTAGGTCGACTACCCTAAGCATCCGTTCTTGAAGAGATTTATCTTCTATTCCCAGTATTATTCGGTCTCCACACTCTTCCAATTGAATGTTATCCCGCAGTGCCATGTTGTATAGCCACTTAGGTATTGAAATAACTCACGGTCTTTATAACTTAAACTTGATTTATTATGACAAAGTTATGGAACAAAACACGGTCCACAGTCATAGTTTTACAGCTAGGCTACTATGAGTCATAGTAGCCTAGTTGTAAAACATCAAAACCATTACGCCTCCTCTTGTAGAGGTAGCTCAAGCATATTGATTTATTAAGAAATAATTAGAAAGGTTAAAACGATCTATCTCGACTGTACCAATATTATGCTCGAAAAGAATTACTACATCAGGTTTAATTTCCGACAAAATTATTTCCAATGGTTCAATACGTGACTGTAAATCTTGCATGTTTTTATGAAAAATTTTTAATTCTTAGTTTTATTTATTTTGGTATCAGCTAAAGAAATTGATTGGCTTTAAGAACGGTGTTTAGATTGGTTTTTTTCTATTCTGATATTTCTAGGCACATTGAAGTACCCCAGCTGAAAAAGTACTATTGTTATTTTCCGCCCTAAAACTTTCACAATCAATATATTGCCCATAATTTTCACCATCACTAGCACTGTAGGACAAAGATGTCCATAAAGTTGAAGGGCTGCTTGTGTCTGGGTTGTGGGCAGTGACAGGTTGATACTCTTCAAGTAGTGGCGTTCCCGATCGTGGAGTGGAGGTGATTTTAACTGTTTCACTACCTGAGTTCTTTACACTGTAATCTTTGATCAATGTTTCAGTTTCAACTGAAATGTACCATGCGAAAGTCCCCGTCTCAACTCTCTTTGTGATCTTTGGTTGTCTTCATGATTGTCTTAGATTGCCAATCTTTAAAACATTTTGAATCTAACCAGCCGTTTTTTGACCAGTTGTAGCGAACGCCATCAGGACAGTTTTCAGTCCAAGTTGACCATATATTGTCGGCCTTGTATACAACATAGGGTGGCATAATATCCCCACCAGCACTTCCACAAAACATTCGAGAAGTTGAGGCCTTGCTAGAGTCAGTGATGAACAAGCAGTCGACGCGAGCAGACGTACTTCACGCTCGTTGCTTATACAAACAAACTTTGAGTGAATACGGTTTAAAGGCCATGTATGTGCCAAAGTGTTATTTTCGTTTGTATATTTACTCTGGATTATAATTACTTTTTTTCTGCAAATATTGGTGTACACATGTTGTGCAATATCTATGTGGGATACCCATGGTGGAAGGAAAAACATAGGTGTGCTATATTCCCGTCATATTCTGACGTCACTCGGATTGCAAACCATTGATCACCTCTGACTGTAACTGTCATTTTAGTATGTGTTTGTTTTGATTTGATTGTAATTGTTTTTGTAATGTTTTCAAAATAGTGGAATGGCGTTTTGTGCCGTTGCTGGTTGTACAAATTATTATCGCAAAACTAAAGACTCCCAAATAAAATATTATATATTTCCAGAAAATGATTATCTAAAACGACAGTGGCTACGATCGTGTGGTCGGTTGACATTAATGTGAAAAACGCACGGGTCAGTTTGGAACATTTTACTGAGGACAATTTCGTGTAACACCTTTAAAATTCGTAGCAGCGTTTTGAGAAATCGGATAACAACTTAAAATGTAATGATTGACAAACCCTTTTCTAAGACTGAACTTAAAAACGTTAAAATTTTATTTTAATGTATAAGTGACTGATAAAAGTATCGAATACATTATATTGAGGTTATAAAAGTGAACAACATCATTAAAATTCAGATAGTTCATTGAGTTTATTTTAGTTGTTAAAGGTTTAATTAAAAATTAGGGTTTTTATTGTTATAATGAACGAGGATACAATACATAAGACAGAATACCCTGAGTCATGGAATAAAAAACTCAAACAAGACATTGGAACTGTACAGTGTGTGATAGTGGTAGGCCTACTCTTTGTAACAATAAAGAAAGTTTTCAATACAGTTACTAGCTAGTTATGATTTTTAAATATTAAACATTGAAAATTACAAACATTGGTATAAACATCAAAGAAACTTTTAAACACTCATTTACACTTTTTGTTTTCTTACAGGTTCGTCTACTTTTTTAACTTAGTTGTCCTTTTTTTCCTTCCTTCCTCAAATTGGAGTTTGTGTTGAGGTGGTTTATTCATATACAAGTTCTGACTTGTATCAGTCGTAACACCGCTTCATCGGAGATATTTGGGTACAATTCTTTGGTTTTACAAGCTTTATCAAACACTTTGTTTATTATACCGCGTTCTTTGCAAACACATTCACCATGAATTTCATTGAATGAATTTTCAATCTGCCTGGCAAAGCCTAAGAATGCGTCTGAAGGGACGCTTAAACCCCCTTTGGAGACAGTCTCGATCAACTGCTGAGATGTTTCTCGATCAACACTCAATATATGTGGCTTGAGGGTTCCCCGGTGGGGAAATTTTCTTATTATTTGCGACATAACCAGCCACATATCGCAATCCTTCGTCTCCTATGATGTCTGCTGGTTTTTACTCTGGAGGTATTATGAATGTCAGCTGTTCTAGAGACAAATCTTCTTCGTCATGGTCCAAAGCGTCATCTGGAGACGTTGCCTAAAGTCTTTGCGCTTTGGCAGAACTCCATTTCAACTCCTTCGCAAGCTGTAGGTACATATGTTTTAAAGGTTGAAACCAAACACGATTCATCATCCGGTTGGACATGTCCTTTCACAGCAAAGGCTGTAGAGGAATGTTTGCCTAGAATATACCATCGCAATCTATACGAAAAAGCATTGGATCTGGGTGCGCTTAGTTGGGATTTGAGGTTACTCATAAAAAAAATGTCTTGTAATATTGCAGGTGATGTTGATAATGGCCCAATCTCATCAGAGAATGCAATTCATTACAGTAGTATGTAAAGCTCTCTGGCCTCTACTCCTCTGTAGATGTAAAAGAAATGTACGAAAACCTTTACCAAACAAAATTTACTTCAAAGGGGGGAAAAATGTAGCTTGGGTAGAGTACTCACTAGATGGAGGACCTCTAGGATCGTGGAATAAGTGAACACCAGTGCAGTATAATATTATGATTTAATAAGTCTAACTAAATGTGCACACATAAAATAAGTACATAAAATAAAGAGTTAATAAAGAGAAAATAGTTGTTACACAGCAATATAATAATAATTGAGAATTGCAAAATCCCAAATACAATTAAATGATATGATTGAATATTTACACCATATGTTTTGATTTTATAATCTGTATATAGATATGAAATGAAATATTTCCCTTGACACTTAATTGTATTTAAAATATAAGTTGTATACACTTACAATGGTCCTATCCTAAATCAAAACCGATATATACATACATTTTAGTTTATCCCTCTGATAATATATACTAATTAAACAAACCGTTATGAGCCGAAACTAGTTGTTTCACAACCACTTGGGATTGTCGACATTACAGGTATTTAAACCACTTTAACTAAACAAACATTTAAAATACTTGTTTACGTGGCTAACACCCTAAATTTCAATTATTTACACATGTTTGAAATTGTCTCTATTATTATATAGGCCTACACGTCTATATTTGCAGTCCAACTATATTTCGGCCACTTAGAAAACGACCTGCGCGCTAATGCTAAACCAATGCTGGAGCAGGTCGATTTCTAAGCGGCCGAACTATAACAGGTTTATTTATGTGGATTCGATTTGAATCCTGTTTTATTCAAACTTCAAATTGTTCTTGTTTAGGTTGGCCCCTTTTAGTTTAATTGAGGGTTCGTATTTATATGAATTTAAAAGTAATTCTACTTCATCTACTCTATTTATATATATTTACTTTAATTTATTTTATCTTTCTTATAGTTTATTTATTTAATTTATATATAGATTTTGTTATATTTTATGGATTTTCCCTCACATTTAAGCTGTGCACACTATGACCAAATGAGTGAAGATATTTTGACATACCACAAGACGAGGCAGTTGGGCAACGATTGAAAGGTTCCCC